CTTGGGCTCCTCGTGATTTCTTCCCAATGCCTCGCCAGCCCTATTAACATTGAGCCTGGCTCCCAGCCAGCGCTCCCTGTCCTATCACCCTTGAGAGCAGGGGCTTTTTCATTTATCTTGTTACCTTAAAGCTATTTATAGATTGCAAACGTGCTGCCCAGGGTCTTTTCCAGGCTATATAAATTTACCTCCTCCGGTCTCTCCTTGTATGACTTCGCCACTGCTAACTCACCAGTCGCTTTTTGCTGCTGGTTTCCTGAGCTTCTGGCTCAGGAAAGTCGTTTTTTGCTGCTGGCTTCCTGAGCCAGGTTGAAGGGGCTGAGGGGAGCACGGCATTGTTGCACCCTCCCCGTGCTGAGCCTGCCCAAAGGACCTCTTCCCATCATCTTCTTGGGCTTGCCATGACTGTTGGCATGGCAAAAGGGACGCTACGGGCCGCATCCCACCCGCCCTGCGCTTCTTGGTGAGGTGACACCTCACCCTGAGATGCCTTCACTGCCCACGCTCGGCCACCAACAGGCACCTTCTGAGGACCTAGCTCCAAATCCACCACTTCTCCCCGTGTTGTATGGCCAGCGCAGACCTAGCACCCTACCTGCTGCTGTCCCTCGCCCCCCTGGGCTTTGCACATTTTCTCATCTTCCTTTCTCTTCACCAAGCACCGTCTCAGCCTGTTTCCCCGGATGGGTATTTCTTCCCCTCCGGGCTGAGTTTTATTTTGTTATTTCCTTCCCCATATTTCTAACCCGTGTTTGTTTTTCTCTGGCCTCTCTGGAGGGAGTGCCTCCCATTTCAGTATCTTCTGGAAATTGAATCGGCCCGGGTGATGGAGGAAAACAAATTTCAACCAGGAAACAGATATTTCGATCCAAGCTTCAAAGGGGTTATTACAGACAGCAATGAAAAAACGGTGATTAAAGAATAAAAAAACCCCAACCCAGTACTGCGTCCTTTTAACACTTAAAGATAAGAGGGAGGGGGGGACTTTTCTAAGGAGACATTCTTCAGGGAAATAGCATTTTTTGGACTCCATCGATCGCTTCCCAGCTAAGAGTGCCCGCATGCAAATAAGGACGGACAGTTTGGGATGTGTCAGCTCACAAGTGATGCCGGGGCTTCGTTTGGGTTTTCAGACGTCAGTCTTTCAGTGACCTCCTTTGGTTTCCGAAGGAAACCTGCCGCAAGCCGGGATGAAGTGCTTTTGTGCTTCCTCCCAGGGTCTCAGTGGAAGATGCTCAGCTGAGTCGTCTTCTGCATGAGGGGTGAAAACCCAGGAGCTCCATCACTTCCCCTTGAGGACCCCATGTCTGGCCAGGCTTCTGGGCTTGTGGAGCCCACGAAGAGCTAATGGCGGTTGCAAGGAGAGCATGACATCCCCTATAGAACGTCGGCCCACAGAGGAGCATCGCCAGCGAGCACTTCATCTGCCTGAGCGCTGCCCAAGCTCACCCGAACAAATCAATCCCTCTGCCTGTGGTACAAGGCCTCGTAATTCTTCAACAAACACCGTGCATGAACAAGCTATTTACTTTACAGCCCTGGGAAGGCTGTAGGACTGGTACATACTCTTCTTTAGAAAGCTCTTCATCAGGCCATGGCTCTCTCCTGCACCTCCCAGCAGCACGTGGACAACCAGCACGTGAACTCCGTGATGCCCCATCAAGCGCTACTTAAATCCACACGGCGGGCTCTGGGGATCCTCGCTAAAGAGGGTTTTTTCTTTTTGGTGGTTGCCAGCAGCACTTGTGCTCCTTGAACCAGACCTCCCGGCCGATCGGCTGCTCTGCTGGCGGGGAACCCAGGGAAGTGGAGTCTATCGTCATTTTTAATTAACAATGCAAAATAAAGCAGTTGCTTGCTGTATAAATTGTGTTTACCCACACAAAATGACAGTCACAAAACAGTTTACAGTTTACAGTCGCAAAATGACTTAAAATAGATAAATATTTCCTTGGACGCATTTTAATTGCTTAATAAAAGTACCAAGAACACCCACAAATACCTTAAATAAATGCATGGCTCTGGGAATGAATTAATTAACATTTCATTCCTGGGAATGGCTATTAATTGCTACAAATTGCTCAGAGAATGGGTTTTGTTGCTTTATTGCCAGCAGTACCTTCGATTCCTAGTGCCGTAAGGCAGCAGTCTGTCCCCCCAGCCTCCAACAAGGGCCGTCCCCATGGGTGATGGCTGCCAGCGGGACGCTGCGAGCACCACCCCGCATCCCTCCGCTTCCCCCATATCCCCGGCATCCCCCCCCTGGGGAGGAGCTGATGGAGAAGGACGGGGTTTCATGGAC